GAAGCCTGGTGGTCAGGGCGTGCCGATGGGTTGGAAGCAGCAGCTGCATCTGGTAACTGTCGGGAGATCTTTCAACTCATCCGAGCCACTGGCAGTAAGAAGTCCGGTGTGAGTGAAACAATCTGTGAAGATGATGGGATGTCAATCACTAACATCTAGCGACGCCTTGGACGATGAGCAGTTTTTTTGAGGAGTTCACTTGGTCTGTCCCTCGGTAACATCGATCAGACTGTTCTACCCTCGATGACCTGTGACAACTGACCCACCTAAGGAGGCGGAAGTCTGCAAGGAACTCTAACTCTTGAAGTGCTATAAATCATCAGGCTTGGAATATTTACCTCCGGCCCTTTTACAAAGGACTGGCAATTGGAAAGTATTCCAATATCGTGGGGTGAGTCGATAGTTGTCCCTATCTTTAAAAAGGATTCACGTCGTTCCTGTAACAACTATCGGGGGATAAGTCTACTTCCGCCTGCGTACAAACTATTGGCTTTCGACATACTTCGTAGGTTGTTCAAAACCCGAGAAAGACTAATTCATGAGGAGCAGGCCGCTTTTCGCTCTGATCGAGGATGTATTGATCATATATTCACCCTCCACCAAATGTTAGAACACCGCCAACAATCGCAGTGTTTCTTGACATCAGGGCTGCCTTCGATTCGTTGGACAGAACTGTTCTCTGGGATTTCCTATGGAAGAAGGGTGTGCCTGAGAAGTTTATTAGCATCTTCAAAGCCTCATATACGAACAACTCAGGTAGAGTGAGGGCATACAACCACCTATCCCTATTATTTCATTCGAGCAGTGGAGTTAAGCAGGATTGCCCATTACCACCATCCCTCTTCAACTTTGCTATCGTTGACGTTCTGGAAACAGCTCTGATGGATGTAAGTAATGGTGGTATGGGTCTGTTGCCTGGAGAAAGACTTCTCGACCTTGAGTATGCGGATGATATTGTCTTACTGTGCGATTATACCCAAGCCATGCAATTCGCACTTAATCAGTTGTCAATTAGTGTCCGTAGGTACGGTATGTGCTTAGCACCTTCGAAGTGTAAAGCACTTTTACAAGACTGGCAGGACGCTGATTCTGCATTCACTCTGGGTAGTGAGCAGATAGAAGTGGTCGAGAAGTTCGTGTATCTGCGTAAGTGATAGTGGTGGCGTGAGTGATGAGATCAATTCATGTCTAGTGAGAACCAGAGCGGTGTATGACAATCTGAGCCTTGGAGCCTTCATGATGTTAGTCTGTCTGTAAAATGTCGAATCTACAACGCGTCGGTGAGAACAGTTTTGCTCTATGCTTGTGAAACCTGGCCTCTCCAAGTTGAGGATGTTAGACGACTCTCTGCGTTTGATCATCGTTGTCTCCAAAGGATTGCTGACATCCAGTAGCAACACCATGTTAGTGATGCAGGTTAGGCATCTTGTGTTCGAGCACAGCGACGATAATTCAATTAGCGTAACTATCTTAAAACATCGACTTCAGTGGTTTGGACTTGTCCTACGAATGTCGTCCCAGAGAATTCCACGTCGTACATTATTTGTCGACGCTAAGACTGGTTGGAAAAAGTGGAGAAGTGGTCAGTGTATGACATGGTGTCATAGTATAAAAGAAAGTTATACAGGACTGGCTTCTGTTGGTCCTTCACGACTCCCTGGTTGGGGTCCTAGAGATGGTAAAACACAGTGGCCTGAGACTTTATCAGATATGGCTCAGAACAGAAGCTAGTGGCGATCCTGCTGTAACTTTTACTTTATTCATAAGAAATAGATTTAACTTCTTTGACTGGAAGAATTCTTCCTGGTTGTACTTTTGCTAACTGAACTGTTTTTCCTATTATTATTATTATTTCACTCTCATACGCTAATTTCTGTTCGTTGTTGTTTATGCTTCTCTTTACACTCTCTATCTCTTCACATTCTCATTGTTACTGTGTGGCGCATATGTATTTGGTACCCCCTTGTATCAATGTTTATGTGTTCAAATAAATAAATAAATTCATCTTGAGTTATCGAAGTAAAGGAATACAATGATCTGATAACATGGTAATACACACGCAGAAATGACGGGATAAAGACGATAGTAAAGAAATTTCGGCAAGGTTATACGACAGATTTACGATTTTTTTCCTAGATGAACCAAAATATGGAGTGCGCAAAACTACGGAAGTCATGTGAACATCGACATAACACGTGAATATGTGTGTCCATATATTATATAACTAACTTGAAAATACAAATAAGATGTAGCACCCAATAAATTAGCCTTGTACACATAAGGTAAATGTTGGCAAAATTAGAATGAATTGGTAATGCTAGTGTATCAGACGTTCATCTGCCAAGTTGATTTTGGTTTAAAATACATACACACATGATTTATAGTACAAAAATGTCAATTGTAAATAACAGGGAAGTAGAAATATTGTAGTCTTTTGAATTAAAGGTCAATCAATTCATATAAATAAGAATAAACATCGTAATATAGTGAAGCAATATTCCATAAAAACATCAGTTTAAGTAGAAATTATTGGGCTCATAATTTTTAGCATTGCTACTAGTTAATATAACTGCTTTAATACAGGTAAGGAACGTGTTAATTCGAATTAGTGTAGTGTTGAATAAAATCCCCAATTATGTTTTATATATGTTATTGATAACAATTATTCAGTATTTGAAACTATTCTTAATCGAAATATATTACAGTAGTATACTGTTATCATTACTTATTTTCTTTACACTTGGTGATAAGATGAACCTCATTTATCATCAAATTTAGATATACGTGAATTAACAGTACGTATTATACTTAGATAGAGTCTTCACTAGATAATTCATTCATTAATAAGACATGTAATTTAAATCTTTCAATATTCACTGTTAAAGATGAGAATTTTTTTAACCGATTTGTTAAGAAGTTCAAAGTATCACGATATGAACTTAATTCCTTAAGATTTATTAAAACAGATTTATCGATAAGTGCATTTTTAATGCATTAAAAATAAGAGTCAAGACGAAGACATAGTGGTACATACATTAGTACTATAAAATTGTACTTCAGTTATTGATTTCTAAACTACGAACATTTTTTTCTATTATAACTAAGACATTAATAAATGTGTATTAAGTTGTATATATAATGATGAAATAAACATTATACTTTCCCCTCCTCCAGGTTTTCATGTGAAATAAACAAAAACAAGCGAACTGAAATTGAAATCTGGAGCCAATTTCATAAATTGTTGAACCAAATTATCATCAAACTTTCAAGTGTGATACAATAGGGAAACTAAAAAGTATGTACCAAACAAACAATACTGTGAAACAAAAGACGCAAGAGCAATACAGTCAACAATAAATTAATAAATTGAACCGGAAATGCTTTACGGCAAGAGGCATAGTTATCGACGACCGAACTTTGAGTAAATACAACATTTTTCTCGGCAATCTGATTCAAGCTGTTTACAGGAACTGTTTTTTATTTATTCTGAAGAAGTGGCTTACATTAAGTCAAGAAACGTCAGAAATACAATTTTCTACTCATTGGAATATAATTAAAATATATTTATTATTAAGTGCGTTTTACTTTTGTGAAGAATATAAACGAAAACTACAACAGAACATCCATTGGCTTCTATTCTGACCCATGCTAGCTCATTTCTCAAGCCAATAAATAAGTTGAGCTACCTATGGGATCCCAAATAGAGAGTAGTGCTGTACTGACAATCCCAATCTTAAATAACTCATATTTATACCATGTCATAAAATGACCAACTGTCTGATCGTTCCACCTAGTCCCAGAGTCGAGAAACAATGCGGAAGTTGATTAGCCTTTTTAGCAGTCATTTGACGAACTATGATTTAGGTAACATAACCGTTAAAATGAGCTAAATGTTCATAAGATAACGTGATAATCAGCTTGTGAGTTTTAAAGTTATCAAAACAGATCTGTGTTGCAAATAAAAAATCCCACAATAGTGAAGCGTAATTGACTCTATTCGACTCCTGGCATATATCTTTAAAAAAAAACAAAGAATCTACTAAAATCTCAGCAATTAGTTTAACATTTTAAAGAAAGACTTTTTAAGTCTTGTTTAAAGAAAGAATGTGATTTTTTTTTACCTAATAATGATATTTTTCCGATTCTTCATAGTGAGTGAAACAATTATAGTCCTATGATTTATTATGATAGAAGAAATCAGTTTCCAAATAAAGTCGTTTACTTAATGGTACTTATTAGATATGAATGATACTTTTCATTACCAGCTTCTATAAATTAAGAAATTGGTAAAAAAAAACTTTAGGAGGGGGGACCATTATTCATTCCATGACTAAATAATCACAAATTTGTATAAAATAATTTGATGCCACATAAATTTTATTGATATTACATAACAAATATTATCCTGTTGAAAATCATTTATTTAACAGATGCAACTGAATAACCGTAGTAAATTTAATAGTGGAATTAAGTAACCAGATATCCAGATTCATGTACTTAACTTTAAGGAGAAAATCATTTCGATCGGATACAGTGATTGATATTTTTTCTCTATTTGACTATCCAAAAACTGGATTCAAATGAATACAATTTCAAACTGAAACATGACTTAAAAAAAGAGAAACCCAGCATAGTAATCATGTTGGATGTTACACAAAAAATGGTCACTCACTGTTCATCATACGAATCAAACAAATAAAATAAATTTTACTTTGTTTTAACGATTTCATTATCAAAACTGTGTTATTAGAATGTTTTCTAAAAGAAGAGGATAATTTGATGTTGCTTACAGAAACAAATAAACTGCTGGTAAAAAGTAATTATGAATATGCTAGTGAATTGTTGTCTATTCCCTGATATTTACGTCAAACATAAAATACTAAGATAGCGGAAAAAAATAAGCTGCAATTTAGTCCAAATTACTGAATGATAATCACTGATTACATTCAACAACAAAAAAATAGGTGATATAATCGAAACGAAAAATATGATTTACTCACTGCATGATTGAATAGAATTGACTGAACTAAACAATAAATAAAATCACTCATATTCGGATTTGAATTGGTGAGTAACATCTCAAAATCCGGTAGCAGACTGGGACCATTCACAGTTGAAAGATTTGAAGACGTCCTATTGGATTGTGAATTCAAAGTAAGTGTTTGATCATTATTACAAGATAAATAATCCGTAGCTGGGATTGCAGTCGATGACGCTGTTGATATTGTAGGTACTTGAGATGTGGAATCAGACAAGGTATGATTATTGTCACATAATACAGGTGTATTTCTTGTATTCCTTGGAGATATTGGGTGTGAAACAGTAGATGATGGTAAAGAAGAGGTAACATTTCTTAACAATTGTAACAGTTGAGCATTTGATGTTCGTCCAGTAGGAACTAGAGATGGTTTTAAAAAGTTGTTCTGATGATTTTGATGTGCAGATAGATTTGAGGCTACGTTTGAAAGCAGACTAGTTAATCCATGATTAGGTATAATTGGAGGTGGTTGAATAATATTATTTGATGGTATACAACATGCTGGATTACTCATTGTGTTCATTATATCCAATTTCGATGGGTCAATAGGATTAGATGTCGCTGTCAAACTACTAGTCGTATTTATGTTTGTAGCGATGGTAGACGTACTACTACTATCAGTTGAAGTAATTGTAGTAATTGGTGAATGTAAATACATAGCATATAACCTGTGAACTTCGCCAGTTTCAAAATTAATCCAATAATTAATGAGTGAACAAGGAAAATAATCAATAATTAAACAACTTAGTATGTTGGAGATAACCTTTACTCTAGTACTTCACACTTCGTGATCATAAATATTTTAGATAACAAAGCGCAATTTAATCAATAATTATGGAATTACGTTGGACATAGAATTGGTATTATAGGTTTACAGAGCAATAAAGTAGATTTGTTGTATTTGTGAGTACGTAGGAGTTGTAGAAAAACTGACGCTGTCAACAACTTGTGAAAATCGGTGCTTTCTTTTTTTTATATCTATCTAAAATTAAAGTTTTGGAATAAGAAAAAAAGACCAATTATTGGTAACTATTTAAGCATAAAAACGAAAGGATGAACGTGAAACAATCGATTATTGAGTCATTCACTAAACAATGAACCAACGAAAAAACAAAGCTCAGGTGAAAAGTATATGAGAAGAGAGAGGGAAGTAAACTTACAAACCATATGAAAAAAGTGTGGTTTGTGAAGAGTAAGAGAGAGAGAGAGAAAAGATCAAAAGTGCATAACACTTCAATCTTGGATTGTTTTAAAAAAAACCTACCTACCCAAAGGTTCATATGATCTTTTCGGATCATCTGAGATGGGCATGCTCTTAGTACATACGCGTGTCTAATTTTGTGTGTAAGTAGTATAAGTGGAGAGAAAAGCATGAGTTCATTTACTGATCTCACAAGGTGGTAATACACACTTATGAAAAAAATATATACAAAAGCAAATAAAAGAACAAACAAACAGAAAAAAGGTAATGTTTAAATGAATGAGCTTGAGAGAAATAAATGATTTTAGAGAGTAAACATTATGAAGTTGTGATTATGACTATTATCATAGAAACCTTGATGAGAGTTCGCATATTGTATGTGGAGTTTCATCCTCAGTTTATTTTGATTATATCCTAATAGAAATATAATAGTCTATTTGGTACAGGGATATATATCTATTGATACTGATTGCAACAGTATAAGTAGTAATTAATCCCACTAAAGAAATAGGATTCATCATACGCCTAAGTGATGTACATTAAAGTTAATAATAATAGTTTCATTCATTCCTATATTATTACGGTGATGAATTTCAGCATTAATTGGGCAATTTCGAAAAAAATCCTCTCTGACATATGTTCAAACAGTAATTATTCGGAACTATATTTTACAAAGTTTTCTTTTTCATTCATCAGTTTCTGGGACTTAACTTTGATAACGACAATTTCCTATCAGTGTTCAAGTGCTACAAGGATTATTTCTAATCCATAAGATATTAAATCCATGGACTCCAATACATTCTTCTAGTTCTTTTTTATTGAGTTAACAAGAAACATAAGTCAACAGATGCAACGTTTCGGGTGGGATTTCCAGTATTTAGCATCGCGATACGTTGTAAGCCATTCATAAAACCGTATGAGTATACTTAATTCAAACGCAAAATTAATCGTTACTAAAAAGTCTAAAACAGAAAGGTAAATTGTGATAAGTGGACGAAACGTCTGAGTTGGGTGTCGTGTCAAGGTCTTAGAAACAATCACTTCAATGCCTTGATGTTATCCGTCACGTTTTCAATATTCAAGTGGTGTATCTTGTATTTATATAAGAGTTACGGTCAGTTTTCCGTTAATAAACGGATGAATGCCTCATAACACTGTAATTTACATCTGAGATTTCATTTCACTTCCTAAATTTTAATAAATTTGTGCTTATCATTTTATATGTTGGATTGAACTACACCACAAATACCCATGGATATGTTCAAACGTTTATTGAGTATTATACTCCAATATGCAGCACTCATTTGTCGAATGAATGGAAAATGGTTAAAAGCGCTGAATATTACGCAATACTAGGACATTAAAAACGTGATAGATGACCCTAGTCATTCAACGTAATAAAATTATCAGCCCAAACATTAGCATCATCAGCATACCTGATATTCATATATTAATAAATCGCTGAGTAGCACAATAATAATTCTACCATGCAAAAGATATTACAATGTTACTTCAATTATAATTGATCTACATGATCGGATAAAGGATATTAGATCAATTCAAGATCCTCGTTAATCCAAGATTTAAATTAAATGCGATGTTGATAATACTCCCTACAGTAATCTGAGATATAGTTAGCTAAAACAACACCCATTGAAATATACACATAGAAGTTTGTTAGCTGTATCACTAAAATCGGCCGGTCATGTTCTTGTTAACAATTAGCTGCTAGTGTATAAGCGTACATTTGTGCAGATGTGATCGTGGTATAGAAAATAGGATTAATTATTAGTTATTAGGTTTGGTCAATGCCCATAAAATTTTCATTCGGAGATGGATAAGAATCGATATAAAACACCTGATGGTTCATCACTTCAGTTTACTGGTATATGATGTAAAGGTAAATCCCAATCAGTCGCATACATAAATATACATAAATATATCTGTAATCTGTATGAAAAACGGTAATCACGATGATATGAAACATAAACAAATAAATAGTTTCTTTAGTTCACATCCGAGATACAAGTACTGATCACTAATGGTTCATATGTTTGTTATTATGCAATAGGTAATTTGAGATTGTAAGTGAATTGAACTGTAAATTAATCTTTTACTCCTACATAACAATTCTCGATAACAAACTACACCTAAGGTAATTAGAATGAACAATCACTCCTAACAATTTGTTAAAACACAACTTTGGGAATAGGTTTTACTTGATCATTCAGAGATATAGCATAGAAACCTAAAACTAAACAGAAGAATGATTCTGTGGAATATTACTCTATATTATTATTCAGTGTTAAGAGCAATTGTTTATTGTTTGCAGATCATATTATAAAACGAAATAATTTTAATAAAACATAATAAACGGTTTTTCCAAAATGAAACGAATTCAATATGTTTATGGTCGACAACATCCGTATTACATTTAGTAGTACCATGAAGAGAGGTAATTTAAATAGATACATGAAATGTTTATTTCTGTCACAGGATTTTAAACCAATACTTCTCCGAATTAACAGTCTACCTATTCTAGTAACAAGTGTACTTATTTTCCCATATGGATACGTAAAATCTATCCCCCCTACAGGAACGATAACATAAAAGTGAGATAAAGCGCATAGTACATAGTTAATGTAAAATTAAATAAACTTACCGAAAATAATTAAATGTTTCATCAAATGGATAATAGTCCAAATCAGTAAAAATTTATGTTCTGAGAAGAAAAATTAATCCATCAGAGTAGAAATTGTTAACTGTCATGATCTATGTCAGTTCGCCTATATCAACAAAATATATGTACACACGTATATATTTAAGGACTGTGTTTTAACCTGCCTCTAAGCTGGTTACTATACAAATGCCTCAAAAGAGCAGGTCAACTTTAGGTGACAGGCTAAGCCGCCCCTGATATGCGAACCAGTTCACACAGGTGAGTGTGAGATAGACAGTCATCTATTAACAGCGATATGCGGGCTAGCCAAAGAGAGATGGCCTGAACTCTGACTCCTATTTGTCGTAACAACCGCAAACAGGCCAGACTAATGTCAAATAAGACCTTAATGTGGGGGCGTGTTGGTCGTTAGATTACGCTCTTACATGTCAGCTAGGTAGGTTGTGCAAATATATCAAACACCCCTGCTTGGCTAGACAGACATATAACACATGGACTTCTTGGTGGCCTTTAACATAGATAAGTTAGGGCTATAATGGCCTCAATTAACAGTTCACAAAGTTCAGTTAGCATTCCGATCTGTGTAATTGGCTATAGGATGGACCATTAGAAATAGGGGAGGGGGTGGAGTCAAGGCCATTTAAGGAAAAACACTAGACATTTTAGTCGATTCCGAAAATAATCGTACACTTGATTGTGATTTATGCATTATGCGATTATTTTGTAGTCTATCATGTAGTTAAGATAATAAAAAGGACATTTTTCAGTTAAATTTTAATAGGGTGGTGAGTACTCATCTTTTTATTATAAAAATAATATGATTTATTAGGCAAACCACGGATTAATTAAGATTTTACCCTACAACGGAAAAATAAAAGTGATTTTGACAGTTTTATCAAGCTATTTACAATTTTTGTCAGCTGAGAACGTTCTAACTAGTTCCTTGATTGTCAATGTAATAATTAATAATATACATAGAATTCAAGTGGGTGAATATGTTGTTTATACTAGACAGGTAATGAACAAAATCCCCTAATGTATATATGTGTATATATTTATATCCTCTTGTCTGCCAAGATTTTAATAAGAACTAAGCATAGGACTTATGAGCTCCTGATAATTGGCGCGTAATAAAGGAATTGTATCGTTTAACAAGTGTATGGTCCACCAGTTAGCTCTATACATTCGTGTCATATAAATCTCTACTTTTATTTTATTTTATTTGGTAAATAAAAATTCGCAAAATGAGTAAAGCTGAATTTGTGTAACATCAAACCTTGACTCTTAAAACGAACTTTAACTTTTCCAAATATAACCTGTGACGAATGATCATTTGACTGGGTAATCGGAAGATAGTCTTCGTCAAGAAATAATACTAACTTGTCAGCCAGGGAGTACATTTTCCGTCCTAATTAAGGATTCATCAGTTGTACGTATTTCTATTCTTCATGGGGTCTAATTGAGGAATTTTATGCCTTGGAGAAAGCACATCTTTAAACTTTAGATTCATGACCCAGTAGTCTGTTTCCGACTTTGTGATAGCGATAACCATCCAACGGTTTTTCTAATATGCTTCGTTACCATTAACCATTCTTCGTAGAATTGGATTTCTTAGCACTGCATGCGGGATTCGGATCCAGGATTAAGGATTCCCATACTAGAGCGAAACGGCCAACCAGTGCTTCCAAGACTTTAGTGGTCGGTTCATGATCTCAATGTAATTCAACAATCTCCACAACCCCAAACTGAATGCTTAATAATTAACGTAGGACATTTTATTCGTTAATAGAAACACTTGTCCACTAAATTCATCATTATCATCTTGTACGTTGATTTCATTTATTTCAAACCATGATTTTCGGCAAGTATCACATCGTCCCATGACTATTAATCCTAAAATAGAACAAATAACTGCTCTCTTTTTATACCGACTTCGTAATGGTCATGTGATTAGTTTGAGGTAACTTCATGTAAAGCCTATAAATCGTCTTTAAGTAACTGCGTGTTTCGGCAATATATACATGTTAGTATAGGGTTGTGGAGATTGCTAAATTTAGATTGATATCATGAATGGATGAATGTTAAGTCACTAATGAAAACATGGAAGCATTGAACGGTGGTTTCGTCCCAGTATGGGACTCAGTAGTGTGTATCCACGATCCCGCGCGCGGAAATCGGACCCAGGACTTAGCCTCTAGACCAGTGTGTCGGCATCCAACGGTGTTAATATCTAACTTCAACCAATCCACGATATTGCACGACCATCCACCACTGTCTTCAGTGAGTAACTGCCTCACAACAGACACGACTGAACTCCATTGGCCACGGCTTCTCACTAGAACTCTAGGAGATCTATCTTGAAGCCAGTCACTAGTGTGCACATGACAATTATCAGTATAAGGTTGTGGAGCTCACAATTCCTTTATTCAGTTCTTATTCAAAACTCGATATCAAAGAGGATAGAAATATAATACATAAGGGTATTTCTTATATAAATTAATGTAAATAACTGTATCAATGAAATTTTATGTTGCATATATTAGAGGTATGTGTTTTAGTGTTGTTTGGGACTTACCAGTTAGATGTACATACACCCTACTGTTGTTGTTCACATCGAGACTCGAATCCAGTATCATACGATTAAAACTCCAATGCATTATCCACTGAGCTATTAAGTTCAGGTATTCACTAAATTGTCGAACACATATGATATTTATATTATCATTAAAATTAATTTGAGTTACTTTGGATTTCACTGTTAACCACAATCTATGTGTTCGAAAATCTTGTTACAAAACAGATTCATTGTAGCAGTTCACACCAAATTCACGTGTATCAACAAAAATGGGTCAAAAGTCAGTCCTAAATATAAAAAAATCAGACAATTCAGATCCTTACTGTTAATGATATAAATTCATCGATTTCTCAACTGTTATCGATTAACCATAAACTATAAAGATTTATTACTTGAAGAATCCACTTCAAAGTATTGAAGAAACCTATCCAACAAAAACACCTTTCTATATTAATTATTTAGTCATTCAGAAAATAATTAGTAATGCTAACACTACCGGTTCTCAAACATTGTAAAACTTTCTGTGTTCTGTTAGCTTTAAATGTTTAATTTAATTGACCTTGAATAATATGAAAGCCATATTATCATTTTCTCTAATAACAAAGAACAAAGAAAACGGTGTATCAGTATCTCTTCTATGGCAACCGTTGATTCCAAAATCTTGAAAATATCTCGCTAAAAATAATGAAAAATGTGCTAAATAACATGGTTTATCATTAAGACCTGTATATTTCTTAGAACATTTGACAAAAACTCGATTATGTTAGATTGTCTATGGATTACAAAACCAACATTTTCTACAGAGTTTTTAGATGTTTTTGAAAATTTGTTCTACATCTATTTCACAAAAATTTGTCAAAATAAAAGTGTAGAAATAATAAGATTTTTTTAAAGATGTTGGTTTACTGAAAAACTTCTGACATTTTTCTACATTTATAATCTTACTTTTACATTATGAATACTTTCATGGGATTTAATCGGTATACATGATAAATGATTTTTAGTTTATACATATATCAGGTATTCTTTCTGAAAGCTTTCATTGAAAAGAATAAGAATTTCATGACTGTTTAAAGCATCTTAAAATTTACGAATATCATTGACTTACTGATCCAAAACAATATCAGAATTCAGGGTATGTGTAAGATGAAATCAAATATTTTCATTTACAAACAATAAAACAATGCTCATAATTAAAGAAAAATAAGCCGATCATCATCACTTATTGCAACATGTTAACATTTTACACATATGCACATGTTTTATTTACTACTACTATGAATACAAATTGTTTCAATTCACAATATAACTATCAATCATGCAATAAAAAACAGAGTAACAGTTCATTTAACACCAAGTGTTTAATCGCTGAAAAATTCCCATTATATTAAAACAATTTTATGAACGAAAAATATTCTTTTCAAGTGTTTAATTTCTACTTCATGTTGAGGTTGTTAGACTATGAAATTAACTAAATATGTATAATTCTATGTACAATAATCACATTTGTATATAAGTTTTTTCGAAGAGTTTTGGTAATAACTGAAATAGTTTTTCCACAGAGTTGGTAATTGTAGGTAAATAAAAGAGGAGTCATAAACTAGTATAAAACGACTGTCCAGTGTTTCCAGGTTTTCAATGCTTGTCTAACTTAGATCAGTTCGTGATTTCAACAAAAGAAAACAAACGTAGATAGCAGGAAAATTTGAACGAAAGACCTTCAAGTTATTGACGAGATAGACTACTGAATGAGCTGAGATACGAATATTTGACCTTAGTTTATCAATTGTTCAGTTTGGATATTTCAAGACTAAATAATGAACAACTTGGTTAACTGTTGAACCAAACAGTCACTTAGAGTAACTTTCAATTAATGACAAAACATGTGTCATAATATCGATGTTCGATATTTCTATTAGTCTAATAGTATGTATTATTTTTATTACTCAGCAAGGTAATAACTGTCGTATTTTCATTGAATACTAAGTTTTAAAAGAACATCTCTTATTTCAATTGATACAAGTTTCCAAGGTATATTGTTCACTGGTCTTGAGATCAAGTTGATTAGCCTTCATATCTTGAACTAGTGGGTCATTAGCTCATATTGTCGAGGAGTTTAGAAATAGGAGAAAACAGTTACTTAGTGCTCTATGGCTTATAATGAATCAGTAACTTGTATAAGATCCCAACCGAAATTACGTACATATTATATATATATATATATATATATATATATATATATATATATATATATATATATATATATATATATATATATATATATATATATATATATATATATAGAGAGAGAGAGAGAGAGAGAGAGAGAGAGAGAGAGAGATTAACTATCCCAACCAGTGATTACATGATTGTTATAACACTATTTCGAATAGAAGAAAATAACTGAAGAATCCCACTTGAAATGTTGCGATTCGAATAAATTGTCTAGATATTTGTTTAATACAAATATATAATAAATGAATTAAATTTCATTTTATCCACATCAATTTGGACATTGGGGATATCTAGTGCCATACGAACAAATTAAATATATCTTTTTACAGCCAGTGATTTAAAGTTGATATGGATATTAATATATTGTATCGTTTATTTTAGTGCGTTGAATAGATATATATGTAAGTAATATTTATCACACGAAAGCACACGTATGCACATTTATAATCGATTGTATTATGAAAGTATACGCAGATATGTACCGACAGTACTTGTCAGTTGATTAGTTAAACATCTAATGATTAATAAACACATTATAAAATCACTTAGTTAACTGATGACCATTAATATTTGAGGCTATTGTGTAAAATACACTTGTTTTCGGAAATAGATCAGTTTAGCATGACTTCGTGAAATTCAGCAACCTGTTGAATAAGCTAGACTATAGATAGTTTGTGATATTAAGCGATATTCTATACCTTCACAGTACATTGAAAATTAAATTTTACAAAGATATATCAGGACAAAATCTGAAGAATCAATGAAAAATATAAAACTTTGAACGGTAGATTCTTTGCTGTTTCAGTCTTCAGTAATCCACGTAATATAGTAATATACAAATCATTAGTCAATAGAATCTTCAAAAAAATGTTTCAAATGACAAAGCAAATACTGTGATATTTCGGATCAACTAAAATGAAGAGCAGAAATGAAGCTCAGCTGGTATTACTGGGTGATTATATGCCTCATACAAACAAAAAGTGATGTTTGATTTTCAGTTCTATGGAAAATGAAGTGTTTATCGTCATCGTGAATAAATATCAGTATATGTATGTATGTAATTGCAAGTGAATACTCTCAAGACTGAGTAAAATTTGTATTCGGTATTGTCTAATTATTAATATTTTGAAGTAAATATTATTTCATGACATAACCTATATTTTTAAGATCAACTCTGTCTTCCCATTGTTCTATCGAAAGATAACCTATATTCACATTTAGTTGTTGCTCACAAACAACCCTAACTAATAATTTTGTTCATGGGCTCTTGTGCTGGCCGATTTAATTGTTAAGCTGTATTCATCTCATCACAGGCTGATCTCATTTGAAGAACCACTGAAAATAAGAGAGCACTGGACAGCTGCTCCGACCTAATATGAGACATTTAGCAATGAATGGTTTTGAAGCTGTGCCATAAGTTGATTGGATTCGAACCTGCACCACTAGACACAGATTTTATGCCTTTTACTAAGTAATCTGAAGGTCTTGTGTTAGATTCCTGACTAGGTCAGGTGTGATCACCACTGTAGACACCTATAATATGACGAAACAGCCACCCAAATCCTCTTAGATTTGTAATAATACCCCAAATGAGATCAATCTTTGACAAATATAACTTACAAAATAATATATTTTAGAGAGTTTAACTGTTTAAATTAATAAAGGTTATGTGACATTTCATATAATTTCTTAAGACAGCAAACTATTGTTTCGTGTAAAAAAAGAAAAACTCGTCAGAAATAGTCAACTCTGATCCTGCTGTTAGTTAAATTAAATAAAATCGAAAGTACTGTTTATAAGTTTTCTTCCAATGATTGAAAGATACTATATATCGAAAGAAAACTAATTATAATCATAAAAGGAATCAGAATTTCATATAACTGTTAAATAGTTGTCCTTTTTAAAAAGTCATCTGGACTGTAAATACGAATTATGTATTGATATGGTTTATAAGTGAATAGTTACGGAATATTCACCATACTTTCGGATTGTTTATTTTCTGTGAACTTCAACTTAATTTCTAAGACCACAATATAGATTTTGTAATAATTCGATAATATTAAATTTTAGTGACTTAAATCATTTTTTATTTACTAAGCTGGCCTTTATTTATTTTAATGTGTTTTTGAAGTAATGATTCCAAGAAGTTAGCGAATCAATACAACATTCAGTCGGGTTATTAATTGTAAACAGATCAATAATCATAATAGAATGATATACAAGTCAATTAAGGTGGTTATGTAGAAGTAACATAAGCTTATATCAACGCTAAACCATTGTTAGGTTTTATCTGCTTACCATTGAGAAATCATCAATATGGATGATGCATTTATCAAGTGACACTTAATTTACAAACGTTCATTGTGAAAATGATGTCAGGCTAGCAAAAAACTTTACAAATCGCCTGAACTGATTAACAACCGTATGCTTACATCAGTGACTAATTTGGATTGAGATATCAATGAGTTTTAATTGCTAGTTCGGTCCGTGAAGTTAACTAAATTGAAAATGAGGTGATAAAGCATCGATGATACTGGATAAGAATAACAAAATGATTGAAATTAAAAAAGTGTGAAGTATTGAATTCTGAATCAATAATTAACTTCTATTTTTGTTCACGTCTGTGCCTAGCTAGCTAGCTAACTTCAAAATCTGATCTAGGAACATTACTACACTACAAGACTGTTATTTAATGTTCCTTGATTTTCAATGATTATTTAATTTATGTCAGTTTATGATTAAAATTACTCTCATATATAAAATCATTTGATGATGAGAAATCGTGAACAATATGAGTATTTCTTGAATATCGATGATTCGAATTATTTAATCGTTATAAAAAAGGCTGAATACTTAATTCTAGTGTAATGCAACCTCATACCAATAATATTATACCATAAATATCTTCTTATTTGTAAAAATATTTATCAATTGTTATTGACTTTCAAATTAAACTTCTAACCGAAGTATGGAATGATGATATTGACGTATAGAAAGACTGAGTTCGGTCCTAGGACGAAACGGTCGTTCAATTCTTCCAGGTTTTCAATGGTAGT